CATGGGGTTGAAGCGGACATGTTATCGTTTTATTTATGGGATTAGTTTCTCTCGATGTTGGTTAGTTATGATGTGTTTGGTGTTCATTTTAGTTGTGATGTATTTGGTGTTCGTTCTTCGTTGGGTCGCGTGTTTCTCACTAGGGGTTGAATCAATATTTATTTCGGGAGGCGTTCGTCTATTTTAGGTTTCATTCTAGTGTTGCAGTGGATGAAATTCAATTAGAAGTTTTCGCTCAGGAGTGGACCATGTGCCTGCTTGTGGAGACATTTTAATTGCTATATGCAAACCTTAGTAAAGGGAGATGTGACAACTAGTGCATAAATGAGTAGGCTTGGAGAACCCAAAAGGGGTTCGAAAGGTGTTTAAGGACTAATAGGTAAGGATAGGTTTCAAGGATGAAATCTAATTTAAGTAGGGGAGAGTTGTAACACATGGTTACCCGATTCGATTGATTGAAGCCTTAAGGATTTCAAAGATAAGGTTTTAGGGAACAACCTTATGTCACAGTGTGCCAGGTTGCTGGCCATGGCGTGGCCATATCACTTAAGTAAGGTTGCGCCTGATTGGGCCCTATAATGTGGTAAGACCTTCACCACGACGTGGTGAGCCCTGCAGCCCAAGCTCATGAAGATTAGGGTTTCTGTCGTATTTTAAGGCATAAACTCAATAGTTGGGTTATTCTCTTCAGCCTCTACCCTCTTTATTTGAAACCCTAACATCTTTTTTCTCCTTCCTTTATCCTCCTTGTCATATATTGTTGAAGTGTGCCATTTTGAATGTTTTGAAGGAAGATAATCATACATTGGAGCTTAAGAGTGTGTTTACAGAAGAGATCCAACATCTTGTGCATCACTTGGACCTTTGTAAGTGTTCAAGTTCCCAACTTTGTAGCTCAAGCTTCTTAGATCTAACATTTTATGACTTTTTTATGTCCCTTTTATGGTGGTGGTGGGAGTTCATGGAAGAACTCTAGATAAAGCTTGAAACTTTATCTACCTTGGATATCCCTAGAGTGTTTCACCTTGTATATCTAGAACTTGAGTGTGATTTGGAGACGTGCATGAAGCTTTGTTATTTTGACATAAAATGGTGAAGTACATGTATGGGGCATGCATGTCCATAAAGTTAGGATTTTTTATGGACCAATGGGGTGCCATGAAACCTTCTGGAAAGTATTGGGGTCGATTTTATTGTATTAAGATCTTAATAGAGAAATTGATTTCACACCAGAAAACCACAACGTGGCCAAGGAAGGACCACACCGTGGTTATGCACTGAATCGCGTCTGTTTAGATTTGGCCACGGTGCGGCCAAGGATTTGCCACGACATGGTGGCCATTGACTGTGTTGACCATTTGAATTTTGTTAACCGTTGGCTGTTGACTTTTGATCGATTTGACCTTGGGTAAAACTTAAAGGATTTGGGTTTTTTTATTAAGGTTTGACATTTATTCGACGACAGTCGATTCGCGGGATGGATCAGTACGAGGAGTTGAGAGTGTAGCAGTGCTTCTCCAGTTGTGTGGTTCAGGTGAGTCTTCCCACTATACAACGTGTGAAATTATATATCCTTTGTGTGGTATGATAAAGGTACCGTTACAGTACGATATTGCTAGTTAACTAAGATAATTCTTTGAAATGTATGTGCAGTGTAGGACACTTGGTGTCATGTTATGTTAAATTGTATTTGTGATTTTTACATGAAAGACTATGGTTGGATCACAATACCTACATGAAAGACTGTAGTTGGACCACGACACATATATGAAAGATTGTGGTTGGATTACATCATGTGTATAGTTATTAATGGTTAGGGTAATGATGGTTTCAGATAATCGTTGAATGAATACCATAGGGGTTGCATGTAGTCCAAGTATGATAACCCTAAGAACTCTTGGTCCAAAACCTTATTGCATGGTTCTTGTTTGATTTATTGCTTTCGGGCGGGATCAACTGTTTGACTGTCTATCAGGTTCCTAAATATATATGACTTTGTATTCATGAGGCGGTTTTCGATTTTAGCATTGGCCATGGTATAAAAGTTCTTCCAGGATTGAGGCGAATGATTGCATGACGGCCGATAGTCGGTAGCAGAGTGCCAGTAGATGATACATATGATTGTTATGTATGTTGTATGTATATAGATAGAAGAGTTGGAAGATCGCCGCTAGAACCAAGGACTTTGCTTGTATGCACTGTATGTATGGTGGAATATGTGATATATCGGGGAACTCACTAAGCTTGGTATAATTAAAGATAATGGTTGTTCGTGAGAAGAGCTCGACAACACTGTACACTCGCATCACAGATAATGATTTCCATTGTTTTGTAATTCAACTCTATTAGTCTTATGGTTTTCAAACAATTGAATGTTATAGTATGATTTAAGTAAAATGTTTTAATTGGTCAACCTATTTTAAATGAAATTTCTCTTTTGTAATTTAGGGATGTTACAGTCAAACTTTGGTAGAATTGAGTATTTAACCAATGAATGATCTTGGTTTGACATTAGGTAGCTTGGGTTAGCTGTTCTGTTGCTGAGGTAGCTATTGAGCTCATGTTGAGTAGTTTAGGTGAGTTTTCTCACTATACTATGTATGACGTTTGATGCTAGTTGTCTTTGTGACTGTAGCATGAATTGTATGAAAGACTGGGATTTGACCCATGACAATTGTATGAAAGACTGGGATTTGAACCATGACAATTGTATGAAAGACTAGGATTTGGCACATGACAATTGTATGAACGACCATGATTTGACCCCTGACAATTGTATGCAAGACTAAGATCTACCCATGGCAGGAAGTCATTGTAAGAATATGATTTGGCCCATAACATTCACTTAGGGTTAAAATAGACCCGTTACTTTATGTATGATTGTATGTTGTATATTGATGAACTCACTAAGCTATGTGCTTACGGTTTTATTTTTTAAATTGTTTCAGGTTTTCTTATATTGAAGGAAGGACATGATTTGATTCTATCGCATCCATTGCACATTTTTATGCACTTAATAATTCTTATGACTATATTCTGATAAATGTTTTGAATTAAGTGGTTTTACTAGATTTTGGAAGATGTAGTTGGAACAAATGCTATTAAATTTTAAATGGAAAATTTGGTTTGAAATTTTGGGACATTATATAATACCGTTAAAAAATTCAGAAAAAAACTATTTACGAAAAACGTTTGTCTAGAAAATACAATTCAAAAAAGAAAAAAAAAATCAATATTTTGAAAAAACATTATTTTTTCGAATCGTTGTTTCATAAAACCATGCCTGAAAGTGGTTTTCGTGAATTTCATATTTTTAAAGAAGGTTGTCATTCGGGTTTCTTACGAAAATATGGTTATATTGTAACATTAGTTTACAAAATTATCATATTAAGGATGAACATGGGTAAGATCAGTAGGGGTGTATATGAGACGGTTTGGTTCAGTTATTCGTCAAAACCGAATCATAACCATTACAATTGGTTAATGTATTTTGATAGTCAGTGGGTAGCGGTAAATATTAGTTTTGGTTAATGGTTTAGTCACTTGATGGTTATGGTTAGCGGTTAATGTCGGTTAACTATAATGGCCAAAAATGACATAAAAATAAAAATATTCTTCTATAAAAATTGAAAAACATAAATTCCATTGCTATAAAAAAATGAATGATTGTGTATATATAATTGTATTGATAAAAGATTGCTTATCTTATTTAATTCCAAATAATTACCCTTTAATTACATACCATATATTTTATATTATATTATATTAAAAAACATTTATTAATGTTATTGCTTCGGTTCGCTTTATAGTGGTTTGGGTTTAGACGAAAATCATAATCGAATCATATGTATTCAGTTAATCAAAATTACAAATCATACCAATTTTTTTTAGTAATTGTTCGGTTATATCTGTTACTTTGGTTTTGGTTCAGTTTTTCAGTTAATATGCTCACCTCTAAGAATACCTCTAAGAATCGATATCAATCCGGGATTTCCAAATACCGAATTGGGTGGAAAGCCAATACCGAGCACCGAACCAAATTAACATTATCGGTATTAGTACCAGAAAAGATACTAATTTTCAAATCTAACACCGATATCGATGATACCGAATTTCGTGATTTTCAGTACAATTAAACAAAAACAACGTTAAATTAACAGGTCCTCGTTAGTTAAACAATAAATTCTTCAAGGTTCCGAATTGGAGTACAATTTTAGATGATTGTACATCTTTAGTATGTATTAAAGAATGTCCTTAAAAGAAAGAAATTTTAGAAATTAGGGCAAACATTAGAAGGAAAAAAGTACAAAAATGACAATATTACAAAGTATAGGGACCCACGGCCTGAGTTTTCTCCGCAGCAACCGTCTCGACTGAGTCACTCAGTCTCCTCCTCCAACGCCAACACCACCAAAAATCACCATCTCCCCCCTCTATCTCTCTGCAGAACTACACGCTTCTTTCTCTCTCTCTAACCCTAATTGCCCCTTTTCGTCTTTTCAATTATTGCCCACAATCAAACGGCTCATATCACTCCACGTCTCCATCACCATCATCTTTCTTCATCACCGTCTCTCTGCTACCTCACGAAATTGATTTTCTATAAGATCCCTTTTCTAGGGTTTTCCACACACACATACACACTCTCGAAGTTCTTGCAGAAAACGCGATATCGAAGAAAGATTTTCGTCCACGAGTGAGCTTCCGCTTTGTGGTTTTAGCACAATTAAGGTGCTTAATCGATCTAAACTCTAATGCCCTAATTCGTATGATGGTTTGTTCCTTTCGTATATGTATATAATGTTCTCAACCCGTTTCAAGATTGATTCTGTGCCTTTTTTTTTGCTGTTCAAGATTATGGTGTCTATGATTTTACATGCTTTTATTGCATTGCTTCGAATATATCTTAAAAGGTGTATGTTCCTTTTTCGTTTTTGATTTAGGGGTTCGTCATGAATTGAGGGAATCAGAGAACTGTGTGATAGAATTTTGGTTATTGGATGGCGATTGAAAAGAACAGTTTCAAGGTCGTTGCCAGTGCTCGATTAGAGTCTGAGTTTTCTTCTCGTAGTCGTGAAGAAAGTATGTCTAGTGAAGATGATGACTTTCAGAGGCGAGGAGGTGTTGAGTTGGATGAAGATGAAGACGATTATGAAGATTGTGATTCCGGTGCAGGTTCTGATGACTTTGATTTACTCGAATTGGGTGAAACTGGTGAAGAATTTTGTCAAATTGGGGATCAAACATGTAGCATTCCATTCGAGTTATATGATCTTCCAGGTTTAGGCGATATTTTATCCATGAATGTTTGGAACGATGTTCTTACAGAAGAAGAACGGGTAAGTCTTACAAAATACCTTCCCGATATGGACCAAGAACATTTCATGAGAACAATGAAAGAACTCTTAACTGGTTCCAATTTTCATTTTGGAGTTCCAATACATAAACTTTTTGACATGTTAAAGGGAGGTTTATGTGAGCCAAGAGTCTCACTCTACAGACAGGGACTTGGGTTCTTTCAGAAACACAAACACTATCACGTCATCAGAAAGCATCAGAACACAATGGTGAATAATCTCATTTCAATACGCGACGCTTGGACAAAGTGTCGCGGATACAGCATTGAAGAAAAGCTTCGTGTGTTGAACATTATGAAAAGTCAAAAGAGCTTAATGTATGAAAAGATGGAAGAACAGGAAACCGATTCATCTGAATTTGAAGAATCCACAGATGGGTTATGGGGCAACAAGAAGGTTAAAGATCGTAAACAGAAACATGCTCATTATCCAGGTTATCGATCCAGTCCAACATTAGCTTTAGAACAACCAAATAAACAAAACCCAAAAGGAACCCTAAAAGTTTCTGGATCAAAAATGGGTACGGGTTCCATTGAAGTAAAGCCAGGTCCTTCAGGGTCAACCAGGGCTTATGGGTTTGTAGGCAATGATGAAGAAGAAGAAAGAACAATGTATGAGGTTGCTGTTCATCGAGATCATAATGCTTCAATAAACAAATCAGGGAAAAAGTTTAAAGGTGTCCATGATGAATTTCCTGAAACTTACATGGGTTTACCTGTGTCATTGAGGACAGATATGCATACTTTTGGTAGAAACAGAACTGTAAATTCATTGTCAGATATCAAGGTATTAACTTCAAGACCTTCTAATATAAGGGTACCTTATGATTATGGGAAAAAACTCAAACGCCCTGAGAATAATACTCTGTATACTAGAGGTGAACCATTATGGCATAACCAAGAGCCAATCGATCCACCCTACAGAATGGGGCAGAAGAAGGGTAGAATGGTCAATAATGGCGGACGGGTGGTGGCAGCTGCTGAAGGAATGAAAATGCTGGCAAAAGGAGAGGAAACAGAGTCTGATTCATCTGAACAATTTGGGGAAGATGATGATGATAATAACCCTTTAATGAGAAGCAAATGGGCTTACCCTAGTGGTGGATCCGGTATAAAACCCGGGTCAAGTTTAAAAAAAGGTAAAAACAATAATAATAATTCAAGAAAGAATGGTGATTTTCGTGATGTCATGCTTCCTGGAGGTGAAGAGATGTATACTCTGAAAGGAAAACAGAAGGGTAAGTTTAATAATACACATGGGATGAATCATTTTGATGATTTTAATGGTGATGTTGAAGTTTCTGAAATGTTTCAAGTGCCCTTGCGAAAGGCGTACCCTGGTGGGATTGGGAAGAAGCAAAAAGACTATTCTACCCTTCCGATGATTCACATGAACGATTATCTTGAGGACCCTTCTGTTGGAAGGTCTGGTAAAAAAGGTCAAATCTTTGAAGGGTATCCTGAAATGGGAGATGTAAGGTTATTAGGGTGCAACTCGGTTAACTCAGTGTCAAAAAAACGAAAGGTAAAAGATGAATTGATGTATATGGATGAACAAGAGAATCTTGGATACTCAAACTCAAGCCCACAACAACAACCACTTGATGATGTTTCCTTCCTTAAAAAAAGGAAATGGTCGGATACAATTCCTTTTGAAAACATGATGAATGAGCAAATTATGGATACAACAGAGGAAGATTTGGAGTTAGAAAATAAAACCCAAAAAAAACCCTTCACTTTAATCACTCCCACAGTTCACACGGGGTTCTCATTCTCCATCATCCACCTTCTGTCAGCTGTACGCATGGCAATGGTCAGTCAACTTCCGGAAGATTCCATGGATGTTGAGAAGACTCACAATGGTGAAGAAACAAAGCAAGAAGTCATCAATGGAGGAGATCAAGGTCCAACAACTTCCGATCCTTCTTCTGTAAACCCTAATCTCCCATCTTTGACCGTGAAAGATATAGTCAACCGGGTCCGGTCAAACCCCGGAGACCCATGCATTCTTGAAACACAAGAGCCACTTCAAGATTTAGTACGCGGAGTCTTGAAAATCTTCTCTTCAAAAACCGCACCTTTAGGAGCAAAAGGATGGAAATCCCTCGTTTTATATAAAAAATCAATCAAAAGCTGGTCATGGGTGGGTCCCGTTTCTCAAATTTCATCCGATGATCAAGAAATAGTCGAACAAGTAACATCCCCCGAATCGTGGGGCCTACCCCACAAAATGCTGGTCAAACTCGTTGACTCATTCGCCAACTGGCTAAAAAGCGGACAAGAAACATTACAACAAATCGGGAGCCTCCCTGCTCCTCCACTAACACTAATGCAACTCAATTTGGATGAAAAGGAAAGATTCCGTGACTTAAGAGCTCAAAAGAGTTTAAATACAATAAACCCGAGTTCCGAAGAAGTCCGGGGGTATTTTCGGAAAGAAGAAATTTTGCGGTATTTGATCCCGGATCGCGCGTTTGCGTACACAGCCGTCGACGGTAAAAAGTCGACCGTGGCGCCGTCGAGAAAAGGCGCGGGGAAACCGACATCGAAAGCGCGGGACCATTTCATGCTGAAACGTGACCGGCCGCCACATGTCACGATCCTGTGCCTTGTCCGGGACGCGGCTGCCCGGCTGCCCGGAAGCATCGGGACCCGGGCGGATGTTTGTACTTTGATACGGGATTCTCAATATATAGTTGAAGATGTGTCGGATGCACAAGTGAATCAGGTTGTGAGTGGGGCGTTGGATCGGTTGCATTATGAGCGGGACCCGTGTGTGCAGTTTGATGGAGAGAGGAAATTGTGGGTTTATTTGCATAGAGAGAGAGAAGAGGAGGATTTTGAGGATGATGGGACTTCGTCTACTAAGAAATGGAAGAGGCAGAAGAAGGAATCCGGTGAGGGTGCGGACCAGGGGAGTGTCACGTTGGCTTACCGTGGGCCCGGGGAACAAACGGGTTTTGATTTGAGTTCGGATTTGAATGTGGACCCCATGGGTATGGGTGATAAAATGTTGAGTGAAAGGAATGAGGATTTTGATGATGGGAGAGAGGAAGATACTGAGGTTTTAAACACAAGTGTATCTTGATGATTTTTTTTTTAAAGGTAATTAATTTTCTTTAAATGTTATTATTATTTTTTGTTCATGCAACTGATGAGTAAATATGTTGCATTGCAGGACTATGATGTGGTGTCGTTATTCATACATACGGGCTTATCTTTTTATGCAGGTTTTTATTTATACATTTTAAAGTCGTGGTTTTTTTTTATTTATAAAAATTGCATGTTATAGACAAGAAGAATCTTGATATGCAGATGAATGGTCTTGATGTCTGATGTGATGTGATCGAACCCCTGCCCTTGCAAAATGGAAGCTAATTTGAGAAGGGTGAATAAGGAAATATGGTGTAGTAATAAAATGTTGAGAAAAGAATGGGTTTTTGAGAAGAAATCAGTGGTTGAAGTTTGAAGGATGAAATATGAATATGTAGTAGTTTGGTGGTGGTATATAATTTTTTTTTTGGTTAATTATGATTTATGCATATATGCTCTACGGGTTGTTAATATGATGAGGAGACCCATGGATTGTTGATGTCTTTTGTTGACTGAAAACTTTTTAAATGTTTCTATGTTTGTAGGGGAGATGTGTATGATTTTTGGATACTTTAATACTAACTAACAAAGAGTTTATATAAAAATTACAAGATGGTTATTAGTTTATTGTAGGTGTTCATATTGCCTGGGAAATGATATAATTGTAGCATCTTGTGTTTTAACCATGTTGAGATTCTAATGATGTTAGCTTTTTTGAGGCTAAATAGGTATGAAAAAACGCCATTGGATCAAAATTCCATACTTAGGGGCTGTTTGGTAGGATTTGAATTTTTAAGATCTGAAATTTTAAGAGGTCTGGATTTCTAAGAGGGTCTGAATTTTTAAGACTTGAATTTATAACATACTGTTTGGTTAGAACCTCTGAATTATTGTGTTGGATTATAAAAATGACAATTTTACCCTTTTGTACTATTTTGAATTCAATGTTTCTGTTTTATATAAATAACATAACCAGCTTTTTAAATAATCATAAAAGATATATAAACAACATACAAAAACTCAAAAACATAATAACAAATTCCATTATATTGATCAAAATGTACAAAACTAGAAACATTTAAAAGAAAAAAAAATTAAACTATCTAATTCCCAAAGGAAAAGAAAACATGTACTATATGAAAAACAACAAATGGACTTTCAAGGTAAACAAATACATCTATACTCTTTCCATCATTACATCAATCATGCCCTTCAATAGCCCTTCCATTTTTCTTTCCAACATTTCAACCTGCAAATCCAAATTCTACAAGGAAACAAATGGGCTCAATGGAAAATTATACAAAAAAATCATAAGTTGAAACAATCCAAATAAAATTAAAAACTGCAGCAATAAACATGAAAAAAAATGAACAGTAAAAATTGCATCCATTATCACCCCTTTCTTGATAGCATCCTTCTTGATAGCATCAATATGGAATCCTTGGTCATTATCCACCTTGACAGTTTTTATCATCCAATGTTTCTTTTATGCAAAAAGATTCAAGACAAAGAAATTTAAATAAATCATAAGTTGAAACAATTTCATTCAGGCATTTCATCAAATGGTTCATATGCAAGTAAAATAAACATGGGAAAGAAGCCATAACTGATAAACCACAATCGACATTATGTAACCATAACTCACCAAACAATGGATTCAAGATCCTTATTAACAATTGAAGGACCATATGGATCAGTTATATGATCGACTTGTACTTCCAACAAAATCAAACCAAAATCAACGACATTTTATTAAAATCAAACCAAAATCAAACCAAAATGAGCAATATTTCATCAAAATCAAACCATATTTCAACCCAAATAAATAATTTCAACAACATCACCAAATATTCAATAATTTTTAGAACCGACTACAAGCATTTCAGCAAGTTTTACAACCGAAGAAACAGTGAATTCGAGGGAAAGAATGAAGAAACAGAAGAAGAAACCGAAGAATACCTTGTTGTTGGCTGCTGCGGTTGGCTGCTGCGGTCGGAGGAAGAACGACACGTAGATGGAGGCGGCGGAGGAAGGCGACGTTGCTGGCTGCAGCGTCGTCGGGGATTAGGGTGGGCGGCGACCTGGCATCGTCCGATGTTGAGAAGAAATACGCGAAGCAAGCAGACGCAAGGGAAGAAAAGAAGAGGCGTCGATTGTTTAGGGCAAATAGGGAATCCTTAAACGCGCGTCTCTTTTTTTTGTTTTCAGACTTGGTTTATTCTCTGAAAAAGTAAGAGGTATTATTCATTTTAAGAGGGGAAAAATAATACACAAACAAGCGGTCTGAATCTGAAAGTTTAAGACATTGCCTCTTAATTATGAAATTAAGAGGTAAACAAACAGCCCCTTGTTGTTTTGAAAAAACAAAAGAGTGAAATAAAGTTTGAAGCTCCCACTTTTGGTAGTCTTCGAAAAAGATTTCTTGGTCAACTTTTCCAAAAATCCATTCGGATCATATTATCGCCAAACCAAGATAAAATAAACAGGATTTGTGTCATCGAACACCCAATAACACCACTTTCTTGGAATTACGAGACCAATATCACTACATCCTCAATAATCACATCCAGAAACCGTATGATAAACGTCCAATCCTAGGGCTTTATCAATCCCACACATCTTTCTTTATCTCCTCACGTGTAAAAGATGATTCGATAAAAGACGGTTGATTATGGGTGAGTATTTTGAACATGTTAGAATCGTGAATAGGTTGAAACGTCTTCATAGACCGAAACTTTGAAGTAAAGTACGAGTGAAATTCATGTTTCACTCAAGGAGTATTCGTCACCCATTCTACATCAATCATAATTTCACATATAACAATTTTTTTTTAAATTTAATTGCCTTCAATCCCCAAGAGACTTTATCTTTTAAGTTATGTCCATATTTTCAAGGCGTTCTATGTCACCCAATTATTTCAAAAGAATTAACTCATTAAAGACATAACTAATTTTAAAGTCTAAATCGGTCTAGTATCCATCTGGTCATCCATTTCTTTAATCATATTTTGAAGTTATCATTTTTCCTTTTAACTTTATTTATATCCGCATACCAAGACTTTTCAAGTTATTTTTAAGAATTTCAAGTTTCTTTTTTAAATACAAATGATTGAATTTTCCAAACAAACAATGTGTTGATTCAAAATATTTTTTACCATCTCTTTTAAGTGATAATTTTGATTTTTTTAAAATTAATTTTAGCATATATTTGATTTTAGTTTTAACATTTTTAATATTCTTTTTGCATTAAATGGTTAGATTTATTATTTTGAATACTTTTAGTTGTTTAAGATAATTTTGTATAGATTTGTATGAGCGAGATGATATTTTTGAGCACTGTTAAAGCCACATCGAAAGCTTTTAAACCATGATTGGAATCCCATACAAGATCCATAATCGAGAAAAAAACAAAGCAATATAAATGAATTTTTGGATTTTTTGTAGCATTGTGTGGTCTTCTTCAAGTGATCAAATAGAGAGGCAAACGTTGTCCGGTTGAGCTGAAATTTTATAGGTGTCCTCCTAGCTTTTTATGTTTAATCCAACCGAAAAATGAGTGGATTTGAAAGAGGTTTGGACCGGATTTTGGCCTCGTGAACAACTGAACATTAGGACACAAGGTTGTCCAGCAGACCATTTTCGGAATTCAAAGAGCCCATCTTGGCAGCCCAGTTCTTAATTAGCAGTAGCTCTTTTTTCGGATTTTAAATAGCCCAACTTTTCTATATTCTACCAGCCCACAATGAATTAAATTATAAGCCCAATATTACAGCCCATTAGATTTTTTATCGGTGGCCGGAAGTAAAAACGCAGCAGCATCGGAAAGTGAAAAAGAGGGGCATCACTATTTCCCAATATGCAACGTGAGAGATAGAGGACAAACTTGATTTATTTATTTTGTTCTTATTTATTTTTTTAAACAATTATTAATTGACTTTCAGTTAGTTATGTATCCTTTAGATTCAAGAAATTTTGATTATCACCATTTTGCATTATATAACTTTTTATTATTATTATTATTATTATTATTATTATTATTATTATAATAATAAGTAGTTATTTTTATTTTCAATATTGGATGAATCAATAGAACAATTAATTAATTAGAAGTAATTTTTGTGTGGGTTTCGATCGTTTTTCCATTTCCAAGTTATCATTGTGTTTTTATTTCATGAATTTAAATATGTAAATAACATTAGTTAATTGTTTTCGCAATATGAAAGATTTCCATCTTATAAGATGTTTAAAAAAAAAGAATTCTTATGTTTTCAGAATTCTAAAAAAAATAAAGAAACAAATACAAGATTTTTTATTTTTTTGTAGTATATTTTCACTAATATTTTTGTGGTGAGGAGTCTTATTTTCCCAATCGACCTTTACAAAATTGAACAACTTTTCTCTTTCTCGAGAAGGACAGATATAATATTTTTAGTTCAAATTAATGGATTGTTTAAACTAATGGATTACATGGTAAAATTTTTAGATTATCATAACAATTAGTAACAAATGGTTTTGATGGATGTTTTCATCTTATTTTTAAATCATGAAATTGTGTTCTCAAAAGTACAGGGTAAAGCTTTTGAATCCTTTTGAATTTGATGATTCTTAAATCATAATGATAGTCAACTTCACGAACCAAATGCTTATTTGACTCAAGAATTTGATTAATAAGGTGTGTTAAGAGTTTTTCTAATAACCACATTATTTATGAAGAAACTAGGGGACTTAAGCTTTTGAGTTCCAACAGTCAAACTAGAATTTATCAAACTCATTGCACCATAAAATTATGATGATTTGTGAAGTAATTGAACTTCTGATTTAAACCCGATATTGGAACTTTCTGTTTTATAGATTCTATATTTTTGCATCTTAGTCATTTGTTTTAAATTAGTTGTTATCTCATTTTAGCATTATATGAGAAAACCGCCTATCATGTTATAATTTATTTTGTATTACATGAATGCATAGAACTGATTTGAGTCAATCTTATTACCGCTACTACAATTCATTTTTGTACTATGTTTTAGGTTTTCTATTTGGCGGTCCCGACAACCACCATAAAGCCATCCACTTCCTTAAGAATAATTGGACAATGGGCCGACCACTTTTTTATCCAACACCTGGTAATGTGGGAAAAAAGTCGATAATACCTTCCAAAATAAAAAACTTGTAACGCCCAAAAAATATGACCTAAAATTTTCATTTTTAATTTAATAAAAACAATATTCCAAAAACATCATCGATACAATCCAAATAAAATAAGTGTATCAAACATCATCTCAAATAAGAGTAAATCACAAAAGCGGAACTAGGTGGTGTGTGCAATGCAGTCATCCCGAGCTCTTCCCCTTGGAACCAGAAGTACCTGAAACATAAACTGAAAACCGTAAGCACAATGCTTAGTGAGTTCCCCAAACTACCCAATACCATACATAATAAACCACATACTGGGCCACCGCCCTCCATCGGGTCGTCGCGCCCGATATCGAGTCTCACTCGGCTTCATGCCCTGCCCGACATCGAGCCCCACTCGGTATACATATATGTTATTCTT